AAATTCACTTAAGACCTGGGTCCTGTAGCCCCTCCCCTTAGGTTGGGGGGAGCAGCCTTTAGATGTGGGCGCCCATTCCCCTGGAACCTCAATAGGTACCATGACTTGCCATTCAACAGAGCCTGCAGTGACCCATCTCTCTGGCATGCAGCAGCATATACCCAGGCAGGGCCTGGGTCAGATAGTATTTCTCTGACCCACACCAGAGCTGTCTGTGCAACAGCACTTCTTAGCCAGGAACCCTCTTGCTGACTCATAGTGTTAAACTCCCTGCGCTTCCAACTTGCCCTTGATCCAGTTCATGCCCAAAACTTGTTCAGTCTTGCTCATTCCCTACTCAGACCATGCGCCAGCCCTGTTATTGATCTGCTCTAGCCCTTCACCCTGCTGCTGACCCCCCAGACCCTCAGACTGACTCCCACCCAACTTTGACATGTGTTTGGATTCTGATTATAATCCTGATTTGGCTTGTCTATGGACTGTGATCTTGGTTCTGACCCATGGACTGTCTCTGACCTCAGTTTCCACATAGCCCTCAGCCCAGTCCTGACTTTCCAGTCCTCTTCAACCCCTGAACCTATTCTTGACTACAGCTCTAACCACCAGGCCTGACTGCCGTGATCCCAGAGCCTGACAGTAGCCATATCAAATTCACAAACTAGGAAAAAAGTTTTTTTTTTTCTCTGTTATGATGATAATAGGTGTCAGTTAATTTTAGAGCATACAGAACTTTCAGACAGAAGTATAACTTTCAAGTGGATGGTTTTCCCTTAGGAGCCTTTGTCTATATTAAACAACTGCAAGTAATAGCCTACTTTAAACATCTTGTTAAAAATAAAATTAATCTTCCCTCCAGTTTTGTATTCCATTAGCAAGGACATTTAGAAATGAGGGCACTGTTTACTGTACCTTTACTAGAAATTTAAAGAATTTTCCAATCAAATTCTAGCTAACTTATTCTTAGCAATTTTTAATCTCAATTTGGACTCTTTAGTTAAGGGTATGATTCTGAGATTTTTGATAAGTCTAACTGATTTTGCTAAAAATAGATTTTAATATCTCCTATTAGAGAGAGAGGACTTTATTTTAAATGCATGGCTAAGAGCAATTTGACTGAAAAGGCAGTCTCTTAGCTGAGAAGCGTGCCCCAAAGCTGCAGATCCCTACAGGGGGATGAACTCAATTATATAAATATTACTTTTTCCATTCCCTCCTAGTTTGATCCTTTTTGTGCTGCTACATGAAGAGAAATGGCAGATACAACTGGAACAGAAGACCTTTCATATTTAGGTCAAGTGACAGCTGACTGGCAAAAACCTCATTAATTCCACACCAGAAAGCTTGCCAGCATAACTGATAATTTTGTTATAATTGTACCTATTACATTTAGCATTAAGTATGAAAATATATGTTCAGGTTTAAAGATTTTTGGGGACTGGAATAGGGACAGACTGATAAACTTATAGTTTATATACTTTTTTGTTTTTTTTTTTCAATAGGTTACTATTGAAATTTTTTCACTTGCTTAGATTAACGTAATTTGCACAGAGGAGGCTTGGTATCATCTAGTTTTATAGGCCAGGCCCAGGGATAAACACGAATAACTTCATAGTTACCCAGAAATAATTCTTCTTTGAATGAGAATCCATATACATATTCCACAGCTAGTGACCATGTGTCTAGTGTGCACTCATCTGAGAACTTTCAAGTTAGTAGTGCCTGTGCTCTTCAATCCCTCATGCGCTCAGTAATGCTATAAAAGGCAGAGCCACCACCCCTACCTTCAGTACTCTCTTGCCATGATGGTGTGTGTCGGAGCAGCTCCATTTAGAGCCACTTGCCTCTTTTAGTTGGCCTTGTGAGTTAGTCTTTTGGGGACTGTCAAGACCCCCCATTCATCTACAGTACTGGGACCATCTTTAGTTCTTCGTGGCAGACCACAAGTCCCCAGGCTTAGAGCACTGCCCATCTTGTGAGGCTGTTATGCCTTTCCATGACAGCCACACAAGGTGTCTCTTCTGCCTCAATGAGGGACAAATATTCTGAACCGGTGCAAGATCTACAGATCCTTTTCAAAGTGGACCCAGAGTTTAAGGGAGTCTCACTTGAGGGCCTTTCTGCTGGAGCAGTCCATGCATCCAGATTAATCTTCTGACAGTTGGGGTATCAGAGGTCCTCAAGGCTCTCACCTGAGGCTTCTTTGAAATGGTCCAAGGTACCCCTCAATTCTGCCTCCAAACTGAGAAAACACCAGGATCAGCCAGACACCGAGCAGAAGTCATCAGGCAAGAAGAAGCACAGAATACCTTCTCCAAGTTTGGATGTTAATCACGAGATTGTCCTATATCAAAGGTGCTTCAAAGCTGAGAAGATCTCTAAGCACAGGAGCCAGCATGACCTGAGGTGACCTAGATATGCTGCAGCTCTCACCTACCACTGTATCAGCTATACTGGCATCACTGGTACCAGCTCCACTTCACAAGGTGCTGACAATAGCACAAGCAGGACCACACGCTCTGTGGCCCAGGGTCGGAGTCTCCCCCTGCATACATATGGAAGCCTCCTGGTGCCTTCCGGGGTCCTAGCACTGTTGCCAATGCCACTGTCCAGATTCCTGGTTCTGTTTTCACCTTCAGGAAGATCTTATATTACCCTCAGTGCCACCAATGCTAGGGAGAAGCCTCCTGGGCAATGGCAACTGCACTTGATGATAGTTTTCATCATGGCTGTTCTAGGCAGTTCTGAGGAAGGTACTGACCACAACCAAGGACCTGCCTTTGAAGGTTGCTTTTTGACAGGACAGGTGAGGTATGAGGTTGCTTAAAGACTGTCGGGCCATACTCAGATCCCTGGGGGGTCTATACTCCAGCCATCATGTCTCAACAGTTTTACAGGCAGGCCCACTGCTACCACTATATACCACCTGAGTATGCCAAAAGAGGCAGAAAGCTTCAAAGAAAAACCCCTCAGAAGGGGCCACCACATCCCGCTGTCCCTCCTCCTCTGTGTTAAGGCAGCAGATTTGACTCCACAGCCAAGGACAACATACTACTCTCTACCCATCCCTGGCCTTCCCCTCTTTTGGCAACCATCTGGTGCATTTCCACCACGTTTGGTCCAGCGTCACTTCAGACCCTTTAATATTGGACACTGTAGAGAGAGGTGACATAATTCAGTTCCTCTCCTGTCCCCTCCCTGTCCCTATTTGGGGACCCATCTCACGAGAGTGCTTTACACTGGGCGGGTCAGTCTAAGCTCTTGAAGCCATAGAAGATGGCTCCTTTGATCACTGGGTTAAAGGATTTTACTCAAGGGAGGGTTTATGAGCTATCCTGAATCTACAGGGTCTGAACACGTACCTCAAGAGGCTCAAGTTCAAGATGATGTCCCCAGTATCCATCATCCCATCCCGAGATCAGGACTGGTATGCTACCCTCAATCCCCAGGATGCGTTTCCACACTCTGATATACCAGGCCCACAAGCACTTCCTGAGATTTGCAATAAGAGACTATCCTTACCAGTTCCAGGTTTTGCTGTTTAGCCTCTCAGCAGCACCAGAATATTTATGAAATGCCTGGCAGCAGTGGCAGCCTACCTCAGAATGAGAGGTGCCCAGGTATTTCCCTACCTCGATGACAAGCTAGTCAGAAGTCACTTGGAGCCCCTGGTGTAGGCCTTTACTCTCTCGCGGAGAGCATGAGGGACCAACAGTTTCGTGTGCTGCCCCCACAGACACTGCTAACTGGAAAGTTATCTGCATGTGCACTGGACAATGTAATCTCTAGCTGTGGAATATGTATACGGACTACACATCTCAAAGAACATCCGTTACTGTACAGTAAGTAGTCTTTTTATGTTAATCACATTATGCAGTCAGCAAGCATTTATGTGGAGAGGTTGTGTCTACGTCAAATCATTATCCTGTTACCTCAAAACTACTTATTACTGTGCTTGAAAAATAAGGAAGGCTTTGTAAATGGCATTGTAAACAGTACTGCAAGTACAGTAGTTTGTACACAGTCTTTTGATATTATTTGAGCCCTGTAAAATCTCCTCCAAATACAAAGCTTCTGTTTGTTTGTTTGTTTTTTTATTTGTACTGCCTGCCTAGAAGCAAGGGCCCAATTGTGTTAGGCATTGTACAAACCTATAACAAAAAGATGGTTTTTACCCAAAAGAGCGTATAATCTAAATTTTAAAATGAGACAACAGATGAGGGGAGCACAAGGGAACATTGAAACAGTTATGGACAGTGGAGTAAGCCTCTGAGACCATACCCTGTCTCTTTAATCAAGAGTTTTTTGTCAGCATCACAACATAGGTGGGTTTTAAGTAGAGATTTAAAGGAAGAAAACTGATAGTGTAATTCTGTTTTTAAATGCTATTTCAGCCAAACATTTATTATTTTTAGTTTCTATTTACATTAAAACTAATAAAGATGTCCAAAAATAGACTGATAAATTAATTGTAATAGAAGGTACTTCAAAATGCTGTTCAGAAAATAACTCTATGGCCTCACAAAAGAGACTTATCTTAATTCTAAAACCTCAGTTATCCCTGGTCTTTAAATTTAATGGAATCGGTTCTTTCTAATCCAGATGTGATCTGAAGTCTGTCCTGCATTTTGGCTAGTGGAAACTAGAAGGTAAACTACCAGCAATCAAATTATTAAAAATATATTCTGAATGACTACTTACCACAGCATGGTGTAATATTTCACAGTGGATTTAAAATCTAGTATATTCTCAGTTGTTCTGTAATGGAACTCTTATCTATCTAATTGACTATTTGATAGGAGACTTTAGCTGAATACCGTGAAATATGCCTTTTTGAATATATCAGAATAGATTAAAGTTTTAAAGCCTGAGTTCCAAAACTAAAAGCCAGATATTAAAAAAGTTTCAGAGAAAAACTCTTCCAATTAAGGAAGAGGATTTATTATAGGAGATCATATAGCAACTTTTTAATAACCAGTATATATATATTTTTCTCTCTTCAGGCATTGTTGGCTTCACTGCATAACTGAAGACCCTCCAACTACTCATCCACCAGCTGCTCGTAAATTCATTTGGGAGAACCACAAATTCAATCTGAGTGGCACTCCTGGGCAATATGTCCCTTTCTCTACAACGCGTAAAAAGATACAGGAGTGGGTCCCACCTACGACTGCTAACAAATAATTGAAAAGCCTGACTTGCCTAAAACTAGGTTCTCAATGTGAACTGTACCTTCATTGTTTGGTTGGTTTAAAATAAAAGCCTCTGACAAAAGTAAAAGTTCATTTTTTTTTTTAATTGGGATTGAAGAACATTTTTACGAACAAAAATAGGGAGTGTTTAAGAAAAAAAAGTGGGTAAAAGGCCATGTAAAGAATACAGTGTTACCTTTATTCAAATATCATTTTTATCAGATATCTTCATGTGCTTTTTTCTTCTCTGTGGGTTTTAAGTAAACCTTACTTTTCTAGTATTTATTACATCAAACTGTTGCTGTGACAGTCATTTCTCCTCTTTATAATATCCAGATAGATTTGAAATACAGTAATGTTCCTATGAGGCTGAACATACAAATAATATAATGGGGCAGGATAAGGAATAATGGACCATTCCCAACACTATACCTAAGTAGTGCTCCCAGGACTCCTTTCTAGGAAGCCATCTCTTAAAAATAATAATAATAATTATATTGCAAGTGAGAAAGGAGTGCCAATAAAGGATCTTAGCTTTTTCTTTATAAATACTTTTGGTATTCTACATATACGTACGTGTGTGTGTGTGTACATGTACACACACATGCTATAGCATGTAATGTAACAATATAAAATATTTTAAAATTTCCACAGTAATCTATATGGTGGAAGTTCATCAGGAGGAGAAAGAAAGGGCTGAATTAATGGGACAGATTTTCATACGCAGACACTTAGGCTGTAATTTACATTTCTGTATCCACAAATGTGCATGCAATGCAGAATTTTTGGACTAAGCCTTTACTGACTGCTTTTGAAAATTTGTTCCAGTGTATCCACATACATTAGTGGTCATTACATAGATGTCCCAAGGTATTGTCTGCTTATATATGGAATATTGTTTGCAATGTTGTAGCTGTGTTGGTCCCAGGATGTGAGAGAGACAAGGGTGGGTGAGGTAATATCCCTTATTGGACCAACTTCTTTAGGTGAAAGAGATAAGTTTTTGAGCTCCACAGAGCTCTCTTTCAGATCTGGGAAAGGTAATCATAGTGTCACCGCTAAAGGAAAGGTGGAACAGATTGTTAAGCATAAGGCTTTAATACGTTGCAAGAAAATATTCAAAATGAAGTGATCAGTTACCACCGCTGTAGTCATAGGACTGACGATTGACAATGAAATCCTTAACAGATATTGCATTCCTCCACCAAGAGGACAGCTGTACAGTCCCTGAAATCCATCCACCAAATAGTGATCAAAGCAGCAGACAAAAAGGTTTCCATCATAGTTCAACTGAGATGACTATGTCAGTGAGGCAAACTGACAACTCGGATGCCACCTATTTTAAAGAACTCAAAGAAAAGGGCGGGAGGGATAGCTCAGTGGTTTGAGCATTGGCCTTCTAAACCCAGGGTTGTGAGTTCAATCCCTGAAGGGGTCATGTAGGGATCTGGGGCAAAAATTGGGGATTGGTCCTGCTTTGAGCAAAGGGTTGGACTAGATGACCTTCTGAGGTCCCTTCCAACTCTGATATTCTGACACCACACCACAATTCACCCAGGAGTTCAAGGATATCATCAAACTCTTCCCCAAACAACTTCAAGAGAAACTTTGTAACTTCATCCCCCAAGGATCTTCTACATGCTTCCCAAGATATACTAACAAGGGAATTTAGGAAGACCCATCTGGCTGTGGCACTCTTATTGAAGGAATATCTGTACTCCTAGAAACCATTCTCAAACAACTCACCTCACAAAGGGGCAGTTTCTTCAAGGACACAACCGACTTCCTCCCGAAATTCCACAACATCAACAACCTCCCTCAGAACACCATACTTTGCTACCATGGATGCCCCTTCCCTACACACCAACATCTCTCACCATGACAGCATCACCCCTATCTCGAATATCCACCCCAAACATCACCAAACTCATCCATTTCATCCTCACCCATACATTTCACCCTCACCCAATTTTACATTCAACAACAAACACTTTGTCCAAACCATGGGAATAGCCATGGGATTAGGATGGCTCCCCACTATGCCAACCTCTTTGTGGGCACTTTGAGGAAGAATTTCTGTAAAAATGCAACACAAAACCCATGATATACCTGAGAGATATCAATGATATTTTCATCTTCTGGACAGATGACCTAAACTCCATCATAGATTTCCACCATAACTTCTACAACCATCCCCCATCCATAAAACTCTCTAGAACACTGCCACACCAGCATAAACTTCCTGGACACCACAGTCAGTTTCAGCATTGGAACCCTACAGACAACTGTATACAAGAAACTCGCAGATCCCCACACTTACCTTCACAGATCCAGCGGCCACCACTGTGACACTGATTTACCTTTCCCAGACTTGAAGAGGAGCTCTGTGGAGCTCGAAAGCTTCTCTTTCACCAACAGAAGTTAGTCCAGTAGATGATAGTACCTCACCCACTTTACCTCAATATGTGGCATAAGCAACCTCAAATCCTGGCACCCTCTTCTCACCCAAAAAGAAACATTTCTTCTAACCTAGAACCAGTACCTTAGATGGTGATAATACATAACCAAGAGAACCATTTTAAACCCAAAGGCATAACAAACTCAGAAGATCCTAAGCCAATTGAAAAGGAGAATATAGATACTGTCCATGTAGAGTGGTAGGCCACAAGGGAGTCCCACTGGGTCATATCCAGCTGTTGAGAGTAGTAAAATATCTGGATCACTAGAAGCCCAGGCAAGAGACTGAAGGAGCATGTCCCAAGTCCCACTGTTCTTTGCACTTTCAAAGGATTGTGGGATATGGTGAGTCTTGGGCCGCCATCTTACCCTTTTTTTTTTTTAAAGTCACATAACAGAACACTAAGCACTGAGAGCAAGTGTTAATGAATTTGATATGTAAAAATGAAAAGCTGGTCACAGTAGAGCCCTACTGGGATTCTAGAGATGGAGATAGGATGGGGAAGATGTATGCATGAGGGGGTACCCTGAATTCCTGGATGTCTCCTCAGCCTGAGCCCTCTTTCCTGCTCTCAAAAGCATATACTAAAGTACAGGATTGCAGGACTGCAAATAGAGAGATTTCTGACCCTTTTTATTAATTGTGAGACAGATAATGGAACCAAATGGAAGAAAGACTGACAGGAGCTGTAGGGCTAAAATCTCAGAACCATTCCCACACGTTATCCTCCCAGATGGTTCTATGAGGGAGTACCAGTCATCCTACAATATGAGTATTTGTGCCCTTCTTTTATTGTCCATTGCATCAATTTGGGCTGTGAAGTTTTCATTTTCCTTGGCTAAGCTTGCTCTTGGAGTGCTGTTGCTTAATGTAAATTCCAAATCAGATTGTTTCTTGTGCACATGTAAGTCATGAGCCCAGCCTTTTACATTTATGTTCAACGGTACTGTGTCTTATAATGAATCCAACGTTTGTGTAATTAGCTCTGCTTTTTGCCATCCTACTGGAGCTTTTAAAAGCTCAAATCTTTATCAGGGTTAAGAGTTGAAACACACGTCACAGTTGATGCAACAGCTTGTCCTGGCGCCGGTGTAAACTGAAAAGCTTGCTGCTTCATAACCAGCTGGTTATTCTGTTCCTTAGGTGTTGTGGGTTAGATTCACTGTCTTGTACTTTTTGTGTTCTGATTTTCTGAAGTGTGCTCCACCTGAAGTGTACTTTGCACTGTTGTACGAGGTGCCGGCTCAGTTCCCTGCTGTTTCCTGTGTGACCTTGGCAAGTCACGTCGTGTGCCTGTGCTACTGAGCTCCTCCTCTGGGAGATGGGGGTCACAAGTACTTCTCTGGCTCAGTGGAATGTTCTGGGGGGCTCAGGTGCTACACTAATAGGCGCAGTGTAGGCATTTAGATAGGGCAAAGGTGAATTAGGCCCTGTAAGTTGTTCAAAGGAGAAATCAGGAGAGTGAAATGTTCATTTTGGTACCTGATAAATTCTAATGGGGGAATAGGGAAATCTCTTGTGCTGTACCTCAGCTTCTCACTGCTGGCATAAAAAAGAATGACAGTTACGAGCCTGGTAGATAAAAAACACACTTACAAAGCTAGGGCCTCTCTGGGCTGGTACATTAACAGGGTGTCTACAATACCCCGGATAGCTGATATTTCAAGAAAAGGAGCGAGTCTCTAAATAGTATTTCAGTTACTCACCCAGCTAATGTGTTAAGTGTGGCTTTATGCCTTCGGGAGCCAACTACGTGGGAAAGATCAAAGTAACAAATGACAGCAGACACATACTCACCAGAGCTTTCTGTCTGCTGAACTGTCAAGCGTCAAACTGTCATCCTCCAACTCTAAGTATACCAAAGAGGTGAGAGTAGCTCCTTCACACATATGAGCCAATACTAGCTCCAAATTCCAAAGCAGCCTCCAAAGAAGAGATCTTGTTGGGACAGCTGCTTGTGTGTGTCCTTTCCACATGAGCGCTTACCATGTGACATGTTAATTTAGATCGGGGTTCTCAAACTGGGGTTGTGACCCCTCAGGGGGTCGTGAGGTTATTACATGGGAGTCACGAGCTGTAAGCCTCCACCCTCAAACCCCGTTTCATATTGTTTTTAATTTATAAGGGGGGTCACGTGCAGAGACTTGTTGTGTGAAAGGGATCACCAGTACAAAAGTTTGAGAACCACTGATTTCGATGGACAGTGGTCAGGAGTTCTTTTTCAACACAGTGGCTGGTAACAGGAATGGCCATGAAGATTCTCCTGTGTTAGAGAAGTCAAAGAAAGGAAGTTCTGATTATTTCCTTTTTGATTATAAAAACTCTCATTGGCTGAGGCTAAATACAGTCCATGTACAGTGTTTAAAGTTTCATAACCACAAGCTTATTTAGGAGCCAGTCAACACCACTCCTCAGACTGCCTCAGTGACATAAGGCATTCCTCTATCTCAGGGGTGGGCAAATTTTTTGGCCCAAGGGCCATATTGAGGTGCAAAACTGTCTGGAGGGCCGGGTAGGGAAGGTTGTGTCTCCCCAAACAGCCTGGCTCCTGACCGCCCCCTCTCGGGAACCCGCCCCCTATCCTACCCTCCCCCTGTTCCCTGGCCCCTGACTGCCCCCCCCCGGCCCCA